CATATCAACAATCAATATAGTAACCAATAGATGAACACCAGTCAATCCAGAACTTAGCTGAAGAAAGAGAACATTATCAGTCCCTTTGAAGCTTCCTATGTGCCCCTCCTCCATTCCAAAATCTCCCTGAGATGATCTATGTACCGAATTTTATATCTGTAATTCCCTGTTTTTAAAAATTATTTTACCACTTAAGAATATTTATTCAGTTTTGCTTATTATTAAAATCTATATGAAAGAAATTATACTGTATCTGTTCTTCTGCAAACTGCTCTGTGCAATATTATGTGTATTAAAATAATTTATGTTCATGTGCATAACTATAGTTCTTTACTGTTGTTTTTGCAGCACCATTTTAGCATTCTGTTATATGGTCTACCACAATTTATCTCTCTTTCTCCTGTCAATGGATATTTGAATTCATTTTAACTTTTTTTATTTCAGAAAATGCTGCTATTAATCTTTCTTGTATATGTCTCCTGGTAAATATATGCAAGAATTTCTCTAAGGTACATACCTAGGAATGGAGTTGCTAGGTTGAAGAAAATTGTATCTCTAAGAAGTTTGATGAACTTGTAATTCCACTAGCAGTATTTGAGACCATCTTAAACTATGGTCTGGTCTCTCCAACACTTGGACTTGCTGTACACTATAATTCTAATAATTTGACCACAGATTCTTTTGGGTTTTATACATTTACAATTATACTACACATGATTAAGGACAATTTTGTGTCTTCTTTCTTTTTTAATTCTTTTACTTTCTCTCCCTACCTCATCTTTTTTGCTTGTTTTATTACATGTATTAGAATCACCAGTACAATTGCCAGTAGAATAAACCTTAGCTTGTTTCTGTTCTTGAAAAAAATGCTTTCATTTTTCATCACTAAGTAGGACATTAACTATAGACTTTTTGAAAACCTGAATGGATACTGAATTTTATCAGATGATTTTTCTGAATCTATTGAGATCATGTGTTTTCTTTTATCTTTTAATGTAATAAATTATATTGCTATATTTTATAATTTTGACAAAATTTGTATTTCTGAGATAAATACAACTTGTTTGCAATGTGTTGCTTTTTAAAATACATGGATATACATGAATGTGTGTTTGTATGTGTGTGTGTTCAGCTATTTGGTTTGTTAATATTTTAGAATTTTTGTGAGTAAATTCATGAGTGAGATCAAGCTGTGATTTTTTTTCTTTCTTCATCTGGATTTTATTATCAAAGGTTTACAAGCTTTAAAAATGAGTTCTGGTAACTTATCTCTTTTCCTAGTCTCTTAAAGTTGATGTGTCATTTTCTATAAGATTGAAATAATCTTTTCTTTCAAAGTTTAGTAGAACTTTCTGGGTCAGATGTTTACTTTGGGGGAAATTGATTCAATATCTTTGATGATTGTAACACCATTTTTTTTATTTCCTTGAGAATGATTTTGGTGATTTAGATTTTTCTAGAAATTTGCTTATTTCATCTATGTTTTAAATGTATTGTCTTAAAGTTCTTCATAATTTTTTCTTTTTTCTGCCTTATTTCTGGTTATGTCCTTATTCTCATTTCTAATATAGATTATTTATTCCTGTTCACTTTCTCCTTGATCAGTGTCACTGGAGTTTATCAGTCTTATTAGTCTTTTCAAAGAACCCACTTTTAATTCTATTGATTCTGTTTAATTTTTGTTTTTCATTATTTTTTCTATATGATTTTCTTTCTTTCTTTTTTCTTTATTTAGTTGATTTTTAAATAATTACTTGTATCTTTAGTTAGTAGTTTGCAGTGTTTTTGAAACTTTTAAAAAATATGCAGTAAAGACTATAAATTTCCCTTGAAGTACTGCTTTAGCTTTATGTTAGCAAATTTTGATATTTAGTGTCTTTATTTTTATTTTTACCTAAGCATTTTCTAATATCAAGTATGATTTTTTTCCTTTGGTCTATATGTTGTTTAAAGGTGTGTTTTTAAAATTTCATAATGCATAGTTTTTTAAGTGTTATTTTTGTGACTTAATTAAAATGTAATTAGATAATATGGAATATACTTTATAGATCATTTGATATCTGTTTAAATTTGCTTTATGTTCTCTTACACCTCAATTCTTATAAATGTGCTATGTGCTCTTGAAAAGATTATGTGTCACTCACATATACATCTTGAATGATATTTTTCATCAGTCTAATATATCAATTATGGATAAAATGTGTTTTTCATCTCCTACTATGATGGCACATTTTCAACTTCATCTTGTAGTCTATCAAAATTGCTGCTTAATGCATATATATAAAGCTATGATATTAGTACTTTTTATATATGCCTGGTAATTTCAACATTTTATTGTTATTTAGTGTCTATGTAAAGAAATGCTTTTTTAGGCCTTCAAGTGTTCTTTGGCATTTATAAAGTTTTAAATTTTTTCTTTTAGTTTTGTTTCATATATATTTTTTACTTACAAATTTCCTACATTTTTGTATTTTAAGTATAAATGTTTTAAGCAAAATATAGCTGGATTTTTTTTAAGTCATTCTGAAAATCATTGACTTTTAACAAGTAAGATTAGTCTATTTATGTCATTGTGATTATGAGTACATGTGGATTTATTTGTACCATTTTACACTGTCTTTATTTTAATTCTGATTTTTTACTATTTTTTCTTTTAAATTGTTTTGTGCCATTTTACTTTCTTCCTTCTACCAACTTATAACATATACCCTCTGTTTCTACTTGTTTAGTACTTTCCTAGAAATTACAATATGCATGGTTAATTTAATAAAGTAAAAAGTTAATCACTGTATTAAACCTCCTCCAAAATGATACTTTTACTTTGGGACATTTGATTCCAATCACCCCCATTCCAAATGTCATAACTATTACTTTCTGATATTTTACTCCTATCTTGCCTTGGTTTTCTATACTCAGCAATTTGACATTATAATTAATGTTTTATAAAGTCAATGATTGTTTAAATTTACTGCATACATATTTACCACTTCTCTTTACTATTTCTGCAGACTTTCCTTCTAGGTTATTTTTTATCTTTAGTGTATTTTTGAGAATTGTCTTCAGTTAAAGTTCTATTGATGTTAGCCCTCTCAGTATGTATTTGTTTGGAAAATTACCATTTCACATTAATAACTGAAAATAACATAAGTATACAAATCAAAATCTAGTGTGGATAACTTTTTTCTCAGTACCTATTCTTTCAGAGTCTTGCCTCCAAACTCTTGGTTTTGAGAAATCAACTGCTCTCTGTTTGTAATACTCTTTTCTCTTCTCTGTGCCATACTTTAAGACTTCTCTGTCTGAAATTTGATTATAATATGAATGGTATCTAATTTTTTAAAATTATTGTTTATCTTGTTTAGGATTCATAGGGTGTCAGGAATCTGATGTGAGTGTCTCATCAATTCTGAAAATTCACAGCCACTATCTCTTTGCATATTGTCTCTCTCTGATGCTTTCTGTCTTTTCCTCCTGGAAATCTCTTTAGATATTTTAGACCCATATTTACTCTATCGCCCATGTTTGTTTGTTTGTTTATTCTGTTTCCTATTGATGGTGCAGCCTGGGTAAATTTTTTACGTTTGTTTTTGAGTACCATAATTCTTTCTTTAGCAGTTTCCAATTCGTTACTTAATAATTTTATTGAATTTCTCATTTAAATGGGTGTGATTTTCATTCCTAGAAGCTTTGACTTCTAAAACTTTGTTCATTTGTATAATCATTTGATCCATTTTCATACTTTTGACATCGTTTTCATTCTTTAAACTTATCAATCTGCTTATATAGTATTTTCAGTCAAATAATTATAAAATATGTGACTCAATGTTACTTCTGCATTTGAGACAAAAGGAAAGTGGCAAGGAAAGAGGGCAGTGAGAAGTACCTCTAAGGACTCTTTCATCAGGAAAGAGAAAGATGTCCTAAAAGTCATCCTGATGTCTCTGCTTATTTCTTATTGGACAAAGCTCTGTTATAAAACCATACTCACAATGAAGACTAGTAATGAAAGCATATATTTAGCTTTTTCAGCCTGTATGCTGGAAAATGGGCAGATGAAGGAGTTAGTAATGTAATTTAAGTTAGCTATGGCTTTGCCCCAGTAGCACAGAAAGAGATGTTCAGGAAACTTTTATTGAATCTGAGTGAACTGCAGCATCTCATTTAGTCACACTGGGTCCACAAACGGGAGACAGGGAAGAAAGCTGAGATAGTATGCTGGCTCTACTGGGATTCCTGTGAACATGTGTGGAGGTAAAATTGATCCTTGTTTTCCCTATTTTGGATGGAGAGTAAATTTATAAGAGAAATTAAAACATACTTTTTAAAAAAAAAAAACTCTCCATGAACCTGTATGTGAATGTTCATAGCAGCTTTACTCATAATTGCCCAAATCTGGAAACAACCTACATGTTCTCCAATAGGTAAAAGAATAAACTATTATATTGATATAATGGAATGCTGTTCAGCATTGAAGGGAACACACAATGTGTGCATAATGTACACAGAGTAACATGGATGAATATCAGGTGTACAATACTAAAAAAATAGCAAAACTCAAAAAGCTACATAATGCATTATTCTTTTTACATGATATTATGAAAAAGACAAAATTATAGTGATAGAGAATAAATCAACGTTTGCCAGGGCTTGGGGATGGGGAGATGGGTTGATAACAAAAGGGCAATGTGAGGGAATTGAGGGGTTGGGAGGAGGTGAAACTGCAAATCAAAAATAATAAAAATTTACAAATCACTTTTGAGGAGGAAATAAAGACTTAGTTAAATTAAAAGAATCTAGTGAAAAGAGTGAAGATAGAGTTTGAAGATACAGGAATATATGAAATGTTTCTATCCACCTATCTAGGAAGATATAGAATAGATAGCAATAATCACTAGAGCAAGTTATCTGAAAAGTTAGCCAACAGGATCTCAACTATAAGTAGAGAGGTTGGCTTTAGAAAAACAAGGGGACAATATTTTCTTTTTTTTCTTTTGAGACAGAATTTCCCTCTAAGTCTGGAGTACGATGGCACGATCTTGGCTCACCACAACCTTCGCCTCCGAGGTTCAAGCTGTTCTCCTGCTTCAGCCTCCCAAGTTGCTGAAAATACAGGTGCCCACCATCATGCCTGGCTAATTTTTGTATTTTCAGTAGAGATGGGGTTTTACCATGTTGACCAGGCTGGTCTCAAACTTCTGACCTCAAGTGATCCACCCGACTCAGCCTCCCAAAGTGCTGGATTACAGGTGTGAGCCACCGTGCCCGGCTGGGAACAATATTTTCTTTGTTATAGGAATTAATAGGAGAAAGATGAGAGCAAATTTAGTTAATAGGAAAAAGATGAGAGCAAATTCAGTTAAAAGGAAAAAATGAGAGCAAATTCAGTTGGTTTTTTTTTTTTAAGTTTGTAGATTTGGAGAAGTGTAAAGATAAAACATATACAAATGTGCAAAAGGGATAGCAGGGTTTGTTTTTGTTTTTGTTTTGTTTTGTTTTGTTTTGAGACGGAGTTTCGCTCTTGTTACCCAGGCTGGAGTGCCATGGCGCAATCTCAGCTCACCGCAACCTCTGCCTCCTTGGTTCAAGCAATTCTCCCGCCTCAGCCTCCTGAGTAGCTGGGATTACAGGCACACGCCACCATGCCCAGCTAATTTTTTGTATTTTTAGTAGAGACGGGGTTTCACTATGTTGACCAGGATGGTCTCGATCTCCTGACCTCGTGATCCACCTGCCTCGGCCTCCCAAAGTGCTGGGATTACAGGCTGGAGCCACTGCGCCCGGCCAGCAGGGATTTTTTATATTGAGGAGCAATACCAGACAACCGGTGGTAGCTGACTAATGTGTTAAGAAGGATTTAGAAGCAATATCAAGGTTCAGCAAATGAGAAGACCAGGATCTAGGACAGTGTCTGCCACAAGTTTTAGACCGCCAGTTACCTTCTATTATTTCAGCTAATTTTCTCTAATTGTATGTATTGTAAGTAATCTCATGTATTTGTTTTGCACACACATATTCTCTACCTATAATAATTTCGTTTTCATTTCTCTTTAACTAAATGCTATTCACAAGCCCAGGTGTTTGAGACTAACCTGGGCAATATGGTGAAACCCCATCTCTATCAGAAAAAAAAAAACAATAATAATGCAAAATTTAGCCAGCATGGTGGCAGGTGCCTGTAGTTCTGCTTATTTGGAGGGCTGAGGTGGGAGCCTCACCTGAGCCCAGGGAGGTCAAGGCTGCAGTGAACTATGATTGTGCCACTGCACATCAGCCTGGGGGACAGAGTGAGACCCTGTCTCAAAAAAAAAAAAATTTATTTACATTAGAGGCCCTCATTAAGCAAGCCCTCTATATATGCACCCAAAATAGATTAGATGCTTCTTGTGTGCTCTTCAAGCATCCTTTATGTCCCTTTTGACCACAGTTATCACATTAGATTGTAAATACCTATGTATCTCTGCCTACCCTGCTAGAATAGTTGCTCCTTTAAGAGAAAGTCTGTAACTGTATTCTTAGTATTTAACCTAAGAGGTGGATAGTAAAATTATTTTTAAGTGAATCAGTGAAATGAAAATAGCTCCAATGTGGCGTGTGAATCTTTTTTTTTTTTTCTGAGACAGAGTTTGGCTCTTGTTGCCCAAACTGGAGTGCAATGGCTCCATCTTGGCTCACCACTACCTCCGTCTCCTGGGTTCAAGCAATTTTCCTGCCTCAGCCTCCCAAGTAGCTGGGATTACAGGCATACACCACTATGCCCCATTAATTTTGTATTTTTAGTAGAGATGGGGTTTCTCCATGTTGGTCAGGCTCGTTTTGAACTCCTGACCTCAGGTGATCTGCCTGCCTCAGCCTCCCAAAGTGCTGGGATTACAGGTGTGAGCCACCACGCCCAGCCGTGAATCTTAAATTGGAATTCCTGGAAGCAGAAGCTGAGATGGATTCTTGTGCAAGTGATTTGTTGAAGAACTGCTCTCAAGTGAAACCCATACGGAATAAAGGGAGGCAGGTGGATGACGGGAAAGCTTCATCATCCACCTAGGCAAAGGTGTGTCAGCTAAAGCCTTTCCTGAGTCTGATCCCACAAGGAGCTCTGGAGCACGAAGAGCACCACTGAGGTATCCCACCCTGAGACAAGGGGGCCCCCATTTTACCCTGTGCTAGTCTTTCATGGGCTGTAGGCCACCTCTGGGGAAGGGTATTACTTGTTTGTCATTTTCTAGGTGGTTCTCAGGAAATATAGAGCCATGAACTGTTTGCAACCAATACTCAGCAGCTAAGGAAAGGGTGCACTGGCTTGGTCAAAGGGGATGTAGGCAGGGCACAGTGGGGTCTAATGCAGTGTGATAGGACAGTGGGAATGGGGTTATGGAATGTAGGTGGGACCCTGAATCCCATGACCTCTGAGATATAGGAAAAGGAAGGAGAAAGAGAAAAGGGATCCTCTTCCTCCTCACCTCCCACCCACTCCTTTCTTAGGCGAGAGTGGGCTTGCCGCCTTGGCGTTGTGGCTACCAAAGACAGGTGTCTGCACTGCAGGCTGGATGCTCCTGAGGGGGAGGCTGGCTTTGCAGAAAGCTGAGCGGGACTCTTGGCTGTATCCCCTTCACACAGTTAAAGTATCCCTTGGCTGAATACATGGGGACAGCTGAGCTAGATGAAAAAACAAATCTTGTACAAACCGGGAAGAGCTGTAAAAGAACTGAGTTGTCAAGGACAGCAATTTCATCTCTGAAGAAAGGTGAGGCCAGTAAGGGAGAGCATTCCCCTGGGACTACAGTTAATGATCTTCTACCCGTGGAAGCATTGCTATCCAAAATAGCGAGCCAGTTTCCTGAAAGAAAGCCTTGTCCCATGAATTGGCATTTGCTTGCTTGGAAAATGAGTTTTCAACCTTTCGAGAATTGAAACAGTCTGTGGTATTTACAATACAGCCTAACTGTCCAGTAGCTAAGTGTAGTCTAATTCTGACAGATGGCTCTCCAGGGAAATTTTCTTTCATATTGGATTATTCTTCCAGGCTGAAATGCACTAATTAAGGGAAGTCTAAATAAACATAGTGGAGGAGTGAGAGGGAGGAGAAAGTAGTCTGTTTCTTAGGAAGCTCTTTTGGAAAGTGGCCATGTTTGCAATCTCTATCTTTCTAGCTCTACACACTCAGCTACATGGAGAATCTAGGCCACTGCTTTGCTGAAGACATGGTCTGCTGGATCAAGGGCAGTCGGCCTTCAGCAAGGAGCTATGACTTTGTTTTCTGCAAGGCCCTGGCTCTCTAACCTGGTCTTCTCCTGTGTTACCTGTCTTGGAATGTAACTTCCAGAATAAATATGTCTTTAAAATGAGCATGGCTGACTTTAAAAGCTGAACTGATTTACGAATTTGGCTGTGATAAACATTGCTAACCTTCTTTTGTTTTAAAGTATTTAATATGTAAAGATATTCCTCTATTACACATTTCTTAATGCTTACCAGTTTGAGACCTAAATAGCTATATGACAGGTACATCTGGCTATCAGATATGAAAGGATGGATTTTGCATGAATGGGTTGAGAAAATAATTCGGAAGTCTGAAAGTGAGTTATGGGTCAGGTAGTTGTCTCTATCATTATTAAATGTTTTTGAAAACTCACTGTCTGCCAGGAAATGTATTGGACATCAAGTACATAATGGTCCCTACTGTCTTAAGGCTTATGGTTTTGATAAGATGGGAATGTGAGAAGAAGGGACTGATCGTGAAGCAAAACATTGCACAGATACTTATTCACATGTGTGATTGGTGCTGCAGAGGAAACATAGGCAAGTGCTCCACGCAACACCTAAGTTGGTCTGGTACGTTAAAGAAGGATGCTTGGAGGAAATAACATTGAAGCTGAGATAAAAGGATGGTTAGGCATTTGCCTCAAGAAGGGCAGAGTCCCACAGGAAAGGAATTGGAATGTGCGAAGGCCCTGAGGCAGGAACAGTTTTGGCAAGTTTAGGGGGCAAAAAGTGTAGGGTGGCTAAAGACAGGGAAGTAAAATGGAAGAGAGACCAGAATTCAGGCAGGAGCAAGAATAAAGATCTTTCAGGCAAGAATAAGTCTTTGAATCTATATGAGTAATTTTTTAAACAATTTTGAGTAGTGAATTGACATATAAATTTATAGTCTTAAAAAATCACTCTGGCTGCAGTGCTTAATGGACACACGGGGAGAGTGAGGGGATGGTCAGCCTGTTATAGAAGGCCACTCGGGTGTGGTTAATAGACATGGAAAAAAAGTGGCAGATTCCAGAAATTCTTTGAGCAGTTTTATTGAGGAATAATTGTATACAATAAATGGCATATGTTTAAAGTATACAATTTGACAATATTTGAGATATATATACATTTGTGAAACCATTTGCCATAATCAATAAAAATAATGAACATATCTGTCACCTCAAAACCTTGCTGGTACCCCTTTGTAACCTCTCCTGCCTCCACTCCCTACCACCCATCCCCCAATCCCCAGGCAGCTGTTGACCTGTCTCTTCTACATTAGTTTGGATTTTCTAGGATTTTATAGAAATAAGCATCATACAGAAGGTACTCAGTTTTGTTTAGCTTCTTCCAATCAGAATAATTATTTTTGAGATTCGTGTTGTACGTATTAATAATTTAATCCTTTTATTGCTGAATACTATTTACTTGCATAGATAATACCACTTTTTGTTTATCCTTTGCCTATTAATGAACATTTGGGTTATTTTCAGTTTAGGATATTACAAGTAAAGCTGCCGTGAACATTCATGTGCTTTGTATGGATATATGATTTTATTTTTCTTACATAATGACCTAGGAATAGAATGCTGGATTAGATGGTAGGTATATGTTTACCTTTTGATGAAACTGCTGAACTGTTTAACAAAATGATTGTATCATTTTACATTTACCCCAGCTATGAACTCTGAAAGTTCTAGTTGCTCTACATTTTCACCAGCACTTGGTAGAGTTTGGTCTTTCATTTTAAACGTTCTAAGAGGTATGAAATAGAATCTCATTGTGATTTTTACATTTTCCATAATGAAAAATGATATCAGGCATCATTTCATGTACTTGTCTACCATCTGTTTATCTTTTTTGATAAAGTGTTCAAAATCTTTTGTCAATTTTTTTTTTTTCAGATAGAGTCTTGCTCTGTCACCCAGGCTAGAGTGTAGTGACATGATCTTGCCTCACTGAAACCTCCATCTCCAAGGTTCAAGTGATTCTCCTGCCTCAGCCTCCCAAGTAGCTGGGATTACAGGCACTTGCCACTGTGCCCAGCTAATTTCATATTTTTTGATAGAGACAGGGTTTCACCATCTTGGCCAGGCTTGTCTCCAGCTCCTGACTTCATGATCCACCTGCCTCAGCTTCCCAAAGTGATGGGATTACAGGCATAAGCCACCGTCCCTGACCTTTTGTCAATTTTTAATAGGTTTTTTTTTAAACTTTAATTTTAGGTTTAGTGGTACATGTACAGGCTTGCTGTATAGGTTAACGTGTCATGTGAGTTTGTTGTACAGATTACTCATCATCAGGGTGCTAGGGCTAGTCCCCAGGAATTACTTTTTCTGATCCTTTCCCTCTTCCCACCCTCCACCCCCAGAAGATTCCAGTGTTTGCAGTTTCCCTCTTTGTGTCCATGTGTTCTCATCATTTAGCTCCCACTTATAAGTGAGAACATGCAGCATTAGGTTTTCAAAGGATAATGACCTTTAGCTCCATCTGTGTTCCTGCAAAGAACACAATCTCGTTCTTTTTTATGAATGCATAGTAGTCCATGGTATATTTTTTATGGCTGCATAGTATTCTGTGGTATATATGTACCACATTTTCTTTATCCAATCTGCCATTGATGGACATTTAGGTTGATTCCATGTCTTGCTATTGTGAATAGTGCTGCAATGAATATACACATGCATGTGTCTTTTTTATTTATGTATTTTTATTATTATATTTTAAGTTCTTGGGTAATGAAGCTGGAAACCATCATTCTCAGCATGTGTCTTTGTGATAGAACAATTTATATCCCTCTGTGTATATATCCAGTAATGGGATTGCTAGGTCAAATGGTAGTTCTGTTTTTAGCTCATTGAGGTATTGCCACACTGCTTTCCACAATGGTTGAACTAATTTACACTTCCGTCAACAGTATATAAGCATTCCCTTTTCTCCACAACCTCACCAGCATCTGTTATTTTTTGACATTTTAATAATGGCCATTCTGACTGGCATGAGATGGAATCTCATTGGGGTTTTGATTTGCATTTCTCTAATGATCAGTGATACTGGGCTCTTTTTCATATGTTTGCTGGCCACATGTCTGTCTTCAGAAAAATGTTTGTTCATGTCCTTTGCCCACTATTTAATAGGGTTGTTTATCTCTTATAAATTTAAGTTCCTTAGCGGTGCTGGATATTAGACCTTTGTTAGATACATAGTTTGCAAGTATTTTCTCCTTTCTCTAGTTTGTTTTACTCTGTTGATAGTTTCTTTTGTTGTGCAGAGCTCTTAAGTTTATTTAGATCCCATTTGTCAATTTTAGCTTTTGTTGCAGTTGCTTTTGACATCTTCATCATGAAATCTTTGCCAGTTTCTATGTCCAGAATGATATTGCCTAAGTTGCATTCCAGAGGTTTTATAGTTTTGGGGTTTATATTTATGTATTTAATCCATCTTGGGTTAATTTTTGTATCTGGTATAAGGAAGGGGTCCAGTTTCAATAGTCTCCATATGGCTAGCCAGCTATCCTAGCACCATTTATTGAACAGGGAGTCTTTTCCTCATTGCTTGTTTTTCTCAGCTTTGTCAAAGATCAGATTGTTATAAGTGGCCTTATTTCTGGGCTCTCTATTCTGTTCCATAGATCTATGTATCTGTTTTTGCTGTTTTGACTACTGTAGCCCTGTAGTAACAGGGTAACGTGTAGAGGTTGGGGAATGTGATACCTCTCACTTTGTTCTTTTTGCTTAGAATTGCCTTGGCTACTCAAGCTCTTTTTGGCTCCTTATGAATTTTAAAATAGTTTTTGCTAGTTCTGTAAAGAATGTCATTGGTAGTTTGATAGGAATAGCATTGGATCTTTAAATTGCTTTGGGCAGTATGGCCATTTTAATATTGATTCTTATCCATGAGCATGGAATGTTTTTCCATTTGTTTGTGCCATCACTGATTTCTTTGAGCAATGTTTTATAATTCTCATTGTAGAGGTTTTTTGCCTCCTTGTTTAGCTGTAGTCCTAGGTATTTTATTCTTTTTGTGGCAATCGTGAATGGGATTGCATTCCTGATTTGGCTCTCAGCTCGGCTGTGGTTAGTGTGTAGGAATGTTTGTAATTTTTATATGTTGATTTTGTATCCTGAAACTTTGCTGAAGTTGCTTATCAGTTTAAGGAGTTTGGGGCCAAAATGATGGGGCACTTTTAGGTATAGAATTGACATCTGCAAACTGAGATAGTTTGACTTCCTCTCTTCCTATTTGGATATTTTACTTCTTTCTCTTGCCTGATTGCTCTGGTCAGGACTGCCACTATTATGTTGAATAGGAGTAGTGAGAGACGGCATTCATGTCTTGAGGTAGTTTTCAAGGGGGAATGCTTTCAGTTTTTGTTTATTCAGTATTATGTTGGCTGTGGGTTCGTCATAGATGGATCTTATTATTTTGAAGTATGTTCCTTCAATACCTAGTTTATTGAGAATTTTTAAGATAAAGGTGTACTGAATTTCATCAAAAGTCTTTCCTGCATCTATTGAGATAATAGATGTGGTTTTTGTCTTTAATTCTATTTATGTGATTAATCACATTTATTGATTTGTATATGTTGAACCAACAACCTTGCATACAAGTGATAAAGCCTACTTGATTATGGTGGATTAGCTCTTTGATGTGCTGCTGGATTTGGTTTGCTAATATTTTGTTGAGTATTTTTGCCTCAATGTTCATCAAGGACATTGGCCTGAAGATTTTTTTATTTTGTGTCTCTGCCAGGTTATGATATCAGGATGATGCTGGCCTCACAAAATAAGCTGGAAATGATTCCCTCCTCCACAATTTTTTAGAATAGATTCAGTAGAAATGGTACCAGCTCTTTGTACATCTGCTAGAATTTGGCTATGAATCTCTCTGATCCTGGGCTTGTTTTGGTTGGTAGGTTATTTATTCTTATTTTGATTTCAGAACTTGTTATTGGTCTGTTAAGGGATTTAATTTATTCCTGGTTCAGTCTTGGGAGGGTGTGTGTGTCCAGAAACTTCTCTATCTCTTTTAGGTTTTCTAATTTGTGTGCATAGAGGTGTTCATAGTAGTTTCCGATGGATGCTTGCATTTCTGTAGCATTGGTGGTTACATCTCCTTTGTCATTTCAAATTGTGTTTGATAATCTCTCTTTTCTTCTTTATTTATTTAGCTAGTGGCTTATCTATATTATTAACGTTTGCAAAAAACAAAACTCCTGGGTCCATTGATCTTTTGAATGGTTTTTCGTGTCTCAATATTCTTATGTTCAGCTCTGATTTGCATTTCTTGTCTTCTGCTAGTTTTAGGGTTGCTTCACTCTTCCATAATTTTTTTAGTTGTGCTGTTGAGTTGTTAATTTGATACCTTTCTTGCTTTTTGATGTGGGTAGTTAGTGCTATGTATTTTCCTCTTAACGCTGCCTTAGCTGTGTACCAGAAATCATTATTTTGTATTTTTGTTCTCATTAGTTTCAAATAACTTCTTGCTTTCTGCCTTAATTTTATTATTTACCCCAAAGTCATTCAGGAGTGGGTAGTTTAATTTCCATATAATTGCATGATTTTGAGTGATGTTTTTAGTCTTGTTTTCTATTTTTATTGTGCTATGCTCCAAGAGTGTGTTTGATGTGATTTTGGTTCTTTGCATTTGCTAAGGATTGTTTTATATCTGGTTGTGTGCTCAATTTGAGTATGTGCCATGTAGTGATGAGAAGAATATAAATCCTGTTTTTTGGGAGTTGGAGAGTTCTTTAGATTTCTGCCAGGTTCATTTGGTCCAATACTGAGCTCAGGTTCTGAATATCTTTGTTAATTTCCTACCTCAATGATCTAATAATGTCAGTGGGGTCTTTATGTCTCCCACTATTATTGTGTGGGAGTCTAAGTCTCTTTGTAGGTCTCTAAGATTTTGCTTTATTAGTCTGGGTGCTCCTGTATCAGATGCATATATATTTAGAATAATTAGGTCTTGTGGAATTGAACTCTTTATCATTATGTAATGACCTTCTTTGGGCTTTTTTGTTTGTTTGATCTTGGTTGGCTTAAAGTGTGTTTTGTCTGAAATTAGGATTGCAACCGCTGCTTTGTTCTGATTTTCATTTTCTTGTAGATTTTTCTTCATTCCTTTATTTTGACCCTATGGGGCTCACTGCATTTTAAATGGGTCTCTTGAAGACAGCACGCCCTTGGGTCATGCTTTTTTATCCAGTGCTATTCTGTGCCTTTTATTTATTTATTTATTTATTTATTTATTTATTTATTTATTTATTATACTTTGAGTTCTGAGACACATGGGCAGAACATCCAGGTTTGTTATATAAGTATACACGTGCCATTGTGGTTTGCTGCACCCATCAACCTGTCACTACATTAGATATTTCTCCTAATGCTATCCCTCCCCTTAACCCCACCCCCTGACAGGCCTGATGTGTGATGTTCCCCTCCCTGTGTCCATATGTTTTCATTGTTCAACTCCCACTTATGAATGAGAACACGCAGTGTTTGGTTTTCTGTTCTTATGTTCATTTGCTGAGAATGATGGTTTCTAGCTTCATCCATGTCCCTGCAAAGGACATCAACTCCTTCTTATTTATGGCATAGTATTCCATGGTGTATATGTGCCACGTTCTTTATCCAGTCTATCATTGATGGGCATTTGGGTTGGTTTCAAGTCTTTGCTATTGTGAACACTGCTGCAATAAACATACATGTGCATGTGTCTTTATAGTAGAATAATTTATAATCCTTTGGGTATATACCCAGTAATGGGATTACTGAGTCAAATGGTATTTCTGGTTCTAGATCCTTGAGGAATTGCCACAGTGTCTTCCACAATGATTGAATTAATTTACACTCCCACAAACAGTGTAAGAGTTCCTGTTTCTCCACATCCTCTCCAGCATCTGTTGTTTCCTGATTTTTTAATAATTACCATTCTAACTGACATGAGATGATATCTCATTATGGTTTTGATTTGCATTTATCCAACAACCAGTGATGATGAACTTTTCTTCATATGTTTGTTGCCTGCATAAATGTCTCCTTTTAAGAAGTGTCTGTTCTTATCCTTTGCCCACTTTTGGATGGGGTTGTTTTTTCTTGTAAATTTTTTTAAGTTCTTTGTAGATTCTGGATATTAGTCCTTTGTCAAATGGATAGACTGCAAAAATGTTCTCCCATCCTGTAGGTTGTCTGTTCACTCTGACAATAGTTTCTTTTACTGTGCAGAAGCTCTTTAGTTGAATTAGGTCCCATATGTCAATTTTGGTTTTTGTTGTCATTGCTTTTAGCATTTCAATCATGAAGTCTTTGCCCATGTCTGTGTCCTGAATGGTATTGCCTAGGTTTTCTTCTAGAGTTCTTATGGTTTTAGGTCTTATGTTTAAGTCTTTAATCCATCTTGAGTTAATTTTTGTATAAGGTATAAGGAACAGGTCCAGTTTCAGTTTTCTGCATATGGCTAGCCATTTTTCCCAACACCATTTATTAAATAGGGAATCCTTTCCCCATTGCTTCCCCAAACCTGTTTTCGTCATGTTTGTCAAATATCATATGGTTGTGCATGTGTAGTGTTATTTCTGAGACCTCTGTTCTGTTCCATTGTTCTGAATATCTGTTTTGGTACCAGCATGATGCTGTTTTGGTTACTGTAGCCTTGTAGTACAGTTTAAAGTCAGGTAGCATGATGCCTCCAGCTTTGTTCTTTTTGCTTATGATTGTCTTTGCTATACTGGCTCTTGGGGCATGTAATCCATTTACATTCAATTTTAATATTGATATATGTGCATTTGATCCTGTCATTGTGTTGTTAGCTGATTATTTTGCCAGCTTGTTTGTGTGGTTGCTTTTTAATGTCTCTGGTCTGTGAACTTTAGTATATTTTTGCATTGACTGGTAACAGTCTTTCCGTATTTAGTGCTGCTTTCAAGATCTCTTGTAAGGCAGGTCTGGTGGTAACAACTCCCTCAGCATTTGCTGTCTGAAAAGGATCTCATTTCTCCTTTACTAGGTAACCTTAGTTTGGTTGGTTATGAAATTCCTTGTTGAAGATGTTTTTCTTATAGAACTTTGAATATAGACCCCCCCCCCAATCTCTTCTGGCTTATAGGGTTTCTGCTGAGAAGTTTGATGTTAGCCTGTTGGTCTTCCCTTATTAAGTGACCAGCCCTTTCTCTCTAGCTGCCTTTAACATTCTTTCTTTCATTTTAACCTTGGAAAAATCTGATGATTATGTGTCTTGGAGATGATCTTTTTGTGTGGAATCTTGCAGGGATTTTCTGTGTTTTCAGAATTTGACTGTTGGCGTTTCTAAGAATGTTGGGGAAGTTTTCATGGGCAATACCCTGAAATAGCTTTTCAAGTTGTTTGCTTTCTCCTCCTCCCTTTCAGTAATGACAGTGATTAAAAGATTTGGTCTCTTTACATAATCCCATATTTCTCAGAGATTTTGTTTGTTCCTTTTCATTCTTCTTTCTTTATTTTTGTCTGACTGCCTTATTTCATAAAGCTAGTCTTCAAGTTCTGAGAGTCCTTCCTTAGCTTGGTCTATTCTGCTGTTAATACTTGCAATTGTATCATGAAATTCTTGTAATGTGTTTTGTAGCTCTATCAGATGAGTTAGGTAATCTTTTATGCTGCCTATTTGTCTTCAGCCCCTGAATCATTTTCTTGTGATTCTTACTTTTCTTGAGATGAGTTTTGCCATTCTCCTGAATTTTGATAATCTGTGTTCCTATCCATATTCTGAATTCTATTTCTGTCATTTCAAACAACTAAGCTTTGTTAAGAACTTTTGTTAAAGAACTAGTATAGTCATTTGGAGAACATAAGACACTGACCACTGGAGTTATTGGAGTTCTTTCTCATTTCTGCATGTGGGTAGTCCTTTAATTGCTGGGCTGCTTCTGATTGAAGTGGTCAGGCAGGAGCAGGGTGGATGTACTAGAGTTTGAGATCAAGTGGCCCTACCCAACCCAGTGAGAATAAGTGAGGGCTAGGACTGGTATGGAGAACAATCCAGTCACTTTTCTGTGAGGTAGGTGCTCTGGGGGTCTAAAACCAACCCCTGGTCCCTACAGACTCTCTAGAGCCTGGAGACAGCAAGGGTGAAGGCTGCAAGACAGCAAAGGTGGTAATCCACCCTTCCCAGTGGGAGTTCTGTCCCAGGCAATTGAAGAGCTGTTACTGGCTCAATAGCCCCAGTAGCAGATGGTGGAGTCCCAGGCCGGGAACACCCATTCAGTGAGGAGATACAGGATTAAGGACCCACATAAAAAATAGTCTGGTCACTTTTTCATAGAGCTACTGAAGTGTGCTGGGGGTCTGCTCCAGTCCCTATTCACCTTGGATTTTCCAGCACCTGAAGTTATCAACAGTGAAGGTTATGAAATAGCAAACACTATGGTCTGTCCCCACCTCTGGGAACTCTGTCCCAGGGAAGTTTGAAGCTGCTACTGGCTGGAAAACACCAGCAGGGGTGCTTGTAGAGCTCAGTTGGGAGATTCCACCCAGTGAGGAGAAATGGGATTCAGGACCTGCATGAAAAGCAATCTGGCTGCTTCTTCATAGAGCTGCTGTGCTGTACTGGAGGACTGCTCCAGTCCTTAGTCACCTTCGACTTCTTTGAGTTGGAAAACATCAATCTTGTATTTAGGCACAGGATGTAAGGGCTACTGGCAGATGCTTCTGATAGGGTTATTTGTGTCTACCCAAATCTCATCCTGAATTGTAGCTCCCATAATCCTCTTGTGTTGTGGGAGGGATGTGGTGGGAGGTAATTGAATCATGGGGGTGGGTTTTTCCCATGCTGTTCTCATGATAGTGAACAAGTCTCATGAGATCTACTTGTTTTATAAAGGGCAGTTCCCCTGCCCACACTCTCTTACCTGCTGCCACATAAGAAATGCCTTTGCTCCTCCTTCACCTTCTGCCAGATTGTGAGGCCTCCTCAGCCATGTGGAACTGTGAGTCCATTAAACCTCTTTTTCTTTATAAATTACCCAGTCTCAGATATTTCTTCATAGCAGTATGAAAATGGACTAAGGCAGCTTTCATGAGACTGAGTTGGTATTGTGAAGTTGATTTTATAATCATATGTGTAATCATGGTGATATGACTCACATATCAGTCATATTTGTAAGCAGCAGTCAGTCTTTGTATTATTTCATTTTCATGCTGCTGATAAAGACATACCCAAGACTGGGTAATTTATAAAGAAAAGGGTTTAATAGGCTCACAGTTCCACATGGTTGGCAAGGCCTCACAATCATGGTGGAAGGCAAAAGGCATGACTTACATGATGGCAGGCAAAAGAGAATGAGAGCCAAATGAAAGGGGAAACTTCTTAAAACATCAGATCTCATGAGACTTATCCACTACCATGAGAACAGTCTGGAGAAAACTGCCCTGTGATTCAATTATGTCCCACCAGTTCCCTCCCACAATGTGGAAATTATGGGAGCTATAATTCAAGATGAGATGTGAGAGGGGACACGGAGCCAAACCATATCATTCTACCCCTGGCCCCTCCCAAATCTCATGTCCTCACATGCATTACCAAAAGTCCCCCAAAGTCTTAACTCATATTAGCATTAACTCAAAAGTCTATAGTCCAAAATCTTATCTGAGACAAGGCAAGTCCCTTCTGCCTATGAGTCTGTAAAATCAAAAGCAAATTAGTTACTTCCTAGATACAATGAGAGTATAGGCATTGGATAAATACACCTATTCCAAATGTGAGAAATTGGCTAAAACAAAGGGGCTAAAGACCCCATGCAAGTCCGAAATCCAGCAAGGCAGTCAAGTCTTAAAGCTCCAAAATGATCTCCTTTGATTTCATGTCTCAAATCCAGGTTACGCTAATGCAAGAGGTGGGCTCCCATGGTCTTGTGAAGCTCTGCCCCATGGCTTTGCAGGGTACAGCCTTCCCCCCAGCTGCTTTCATGGGCTAGTATTAAGTGTCTGCAGCCTTTTCAGGTGCGCAGTGCAAGCTGTCAGCGGATCTACCATTCCGGGGTCTGGAGAATGGTAGCCCTCTTCTAACAGCTCCACTAGGCAGTGCCCCAGTGGGGACTCTGTGTGGAGGCTTTAACCCCACATTTCCCTCTACACTGCCCTAGCAGAGCTTCTCTATGAGAGCCCCAGCCCTGCAGCAAAATCTGCCTAGAGACCCAGACATTTCCATACATCCTCTAAAATCTAGGTATACGTTCTCAAATCCCGTTTCTTGACTTCTGTGCACCCACAGGCTTAACAGCCTTGCCAAGGCTTAGGGATTGCACCCTTTGAAGCCATGGCTCAAGCTGTACCTTGGCCACTTCTAGCCATTGCTAGAGCATCTGGGATGTAGGACATCAAGTCTCTAGGCTGCACACAATATGGGTACCCTGGACCTGACCCACAAACCCATTTTTTCCTCCTAGGCCTGTAGGCTTGTGATGAGAGGGGCTGCTGCACAGGTCTCTGGTATGCCCTGGAGACATTTTCCCCATGTCTTGGTGGTTAACATTCCGCTCCTTGTGACTTATGCAAATTTCTGCAGCAGTCTTAATTTCGCCTTAGAAAATGGGATTTTCTTCTCTCTTGCATGGTCAGATTGCAAATTTTCCAAATTTTTATGCTGTGTTTCCCTTTTAAAACTGAATGCTTTTAACAGCACCTGAGTCACCTCTTGAATGCTTTGCTGCTTAGAAATTTCTTCTGCCAGATACCCTAAATCATCTTCCTTAAGTTCAAAGTTCCATAAATCTCTAGAACAGGGGCAAAATGTGGCCAGTCTCTTTGCTAAAACATAGCAAGAGTCATCTTTACTCTAGTTCCCAACAAGTTCCTCATCTTCATCTGAGACCACTTCAGACTGGATTTCATTGTCCATATCATTATCAGCATTTTGGTTAAAGCCATTCAACAAGTCTCTAGGGAGTTCCAATTTTCCCACAGTTTCCTGTCTTCTTCTGAGCCCTCTAACTTGTTCCAATCTCTGCCTGTTACCCACTTCCAAAGTTGCTTTCACATTTTCATGTATCATTATAGCTATGCCCTACTCCCAGTACCAACTTACTGTACTTGTTTATTTTCACACTGTTGATAAAGACATACCCAAGACTGGGTGATTTATAAAGAAAAAGAGATTTAGTGGACTCACAGTTCCACGTGGCTGGGGAGGCCTCACAATTGTGGTAGAAGGTAAAAGGCATGCTTACATGATGGCAGGCAAGATAGAATGACAGCCAAGTGAAAGAGGAAACCCCTTATAAAAACATCATATCTCATGGGAGGCCGAGGTAGGCAGATCACACAAGGTCAGGAGTTTGAGACTAGCCTGGCCAACATGGCCTGTCTCTACTAAAAATACAAAAATTAGCTGGGTGTGGTGGCAGACACCTGTAATCCCAGCTACTCAGGAGGCTGAGGCAGGAGAATCACTTGAACTCAAGAGGTAGAGGTTGCAGTGAGCTGAGATCATCATTGCACTCCAGCTTGTGCAACAAAAGCAAGAGTCCGTCTCAGAGCAAATGAACAGACAACAACAAAAAAAATCATACCTCATGAGACATGTTCACTACCACAAGAACAGTGTGGTGGAAACTGTCCCCATGATTCAATTATCTCCCACCAAGTCCCTCCCACCACACATGGGAATTATTGGAGCTACAATTTAAGATGAGATTTGGGTAGGGAGACAGCCAAACTATAGCAGTCTTTGTGGCAGAAGAGGGGAAGAGAAGCTTTCTATTGTGAACACTGCCACACTTGATTATTTCCTTCTTTTTTGTCACATTTCTCATTAATTTCCACCAGGAGGAGGCACACAGCCCAGTTCCCCTAGTCTTTCTTCCTAAATCCCCCATCTTTTTTTTTTTCCTTTCTCTTTATTGAGTTGTGAGAGCTTTTAAAATATTTTAGATGCCAGCCCTGTATCAAATATATGATATGTGAATATTTTCTCCCAAGCTATGACTTGTTTTTTTTTATTCTCTTAACATTTTATTTTTAAAGAGAGATGTTCATAAGTCTGCTTGAGTCCATTTACTCAATTTCATCTTTTATAGGGTTTGACTTCAGGAGTGTGTCAAAGAAATCTTGGCCTAATCCAAATTTATACAGTACTATTTTTTGCTGTTTTACTCTAGAAGTTCTGTCATTTTAGCTGTTACATTTATAACTAAAATCCATTTTGGGTTAATTTTTACATAAGGTATGATATGGTTTGAAGTTTTTTCTTGTGAATGATGTGTGTGTGTGTATGCTATAAAATTATTCCAGTACCATTTGTTGAAAAGCCTATATTGTCTACATAATTGCCTTTTGCACCTTTGAAGAAAATAATTGATCATGTATATGGGTCTATTCTGGACTCTCTGTTCTTTTCCATTGCTCTATTTGTCTAGCTTTACTCCAATATCACAGTGTCTTGATTGCATATTTATTAATCATGAAATAAAATAGTATAAGTGCTGCAACTTTGCCCTACTTTTTCAAAGTTGTTTTGGTTATCTAGGTCTTTTGCATTTCCATATGAATTTTATAATCACCTTATCATTTTACACACAGAAACACACACACACTTGAATTTTTATTGGGGTTGCATTAAATACAGAATCACTTTGGAAATAATAGAAATCTTAAAAATAGTCTTCCCACCACAGTGTATATCTCTCCATTTACCACATTGTCTTTACCTTCCCTCAGCAATCTTCTAAGACAGGTCTCTCGAGCTCTCTCATTGTTTATCATTCTCTTCTCTAGTACTCTATCCTGTAAATTCTAGCAGGGATGGCCTCTCCAGACTCCCAAGTCCATTTCCTCAACTGAGGGAGCCCACTAGGCTATGCCTGGGTTTTCACCTGTCTGTATTGTGTCTTTGAAACTGTCTCCAGGTAGTGAATGGGCAGTTTTAGTTCTTGCCTCTCGTTTGTTTCCTGTCACTCAAGGATCACATATCTTCATTACCTGATGTCCAATCATTGTTTCACATATTTTGTCCAGATTTTTAGTTGTTTAAGATGTGAGAGTAAATTCATTTCCTGCCTCTCCATCATTGTCAGAAGTGATTGATTTTCTGTGAGAATTGAAGAGAGTGGTCAAAGATGGATGATTTTCTGGTTTTCAGCATGAGCAAACTCAAGAAAGATGTTGGCATTTACTGAGATGGAAAATATTAGAAGAATAGGCTATATTTTGGTATAAGTAAGATCATATGTTCCATTTTTAACATATTCAGCTTCTGCTACCTGAAACATTCAAGTTTTAAAAAATCACAAACCAGTTGTATAGACTAGCTGGATCTCAGAAACAGGGTCTGAGTTGGAAATAAGAATTTACAAATTGTCAACATATCCTGTTTATGGTATTTGAATAATAGAGGTTGACAAAGGTTTTTAATAGCTGAATGTAGAGTGATAAAAGAAGAGGACTTGGGTCCGTTTTTGAAGAATACTAATGTTTAGACTTTAGATGGAGAAGGAGACCTTAATCTGAAGAGAGACAGCCAAAGAGGTGAAAGGAAAACTGATTGATTGTATCATGGAAGTCACCAGAAGAATGTTTCAAGGAACCAAGAGTGGTCAGAGTCACTCTGACTGAGTGACAAAGCTGGTTGAGGTCGGTGAAGAAAGGGCTGAAAAGAGCCCACTGGATTCTGTGACAGGAAAGTAACTGGTGGCTCTAGTAAGGGAACTTTCCATAGAGCAGTAAGGCCAAAGCCAGAACAGAGGAGACTGGAAAGCAAATGACAGAAACAGGAGGCAGCATGTTTAAATAGCTCTGTGGCACATTTGTCTGCAAAAGGAAAAGAGGAGGACTGAAATTGGGAAGGAATTTTTCAAAATGGGAGAAAACAGATTATTTAAATACTGACAGATAAGAGCCAGTATAGTGGGGAAGCCTGAAGATGCAAGAAAGAGAGGATGAGCAGCAGAGGGGGGTCCTGTGGCTGAGGCCCCATTGGATGGTGAGAGTGGATGGGACCCAGAATAGAGCTGGCGGATTTGCTTTTGATAAAACTCTTCTTCCTTTGTCATGGGGGAGGGAGAGGCCTAACACAAGTGCATATATATTTATGAATTCAAAGACAAGAAGTCAGTGTAGCACTTCTGATATCTGTCTTTTCTATGAGGTAAGAGACAGGGCTGTGTGCTGAGGTAAGAGCCTCTGCCTTCAGGGAGCTTGTGTCGTTTGCTGCGTACTGGTCTGATTACTTCTTTTATAGTAACTACAAAATCAGTCTCACTTTAACTTGGGTCCTTTTTAAATTTTAAAATATGTTTTACTTTTCAAAACTAATTGGTTGGATTTTCCTTTATTATGTAATCTGTCTGCTTAATACAGAAAATTTGAATGAAAACAGAAGAGCAGATAATCCTGATACAATGTCACCTACAATCCCTCTGCCCTAAAGTAACCACTGTTAAAGTGTGCTATGTTTTTCCTGTGTAATCTCTGTCCACGATTCTTCACTTGCAATTTTTATATGGTTGTAACACTGTTTTGCCTATTTCTTTGCTCTAATTGAAGTAAACTGAACACAAAGTTTTGTGTCTCAAAGGACCCTTTCTGCAGGTGGGTGGGGCCCCTGTCAGCCTTCAACGGAAGCTTCTCTGTCTTCTCTCTTTGGAGGCTGAGGGATCACAGTCAGTTTGCCCAGAAGAGAAGCTGGGACTTATCAACTAACCAATACTGCTTTCAAACCATTTTTTATTAAAATATTTCAATCAAAGCCTGGGGAAGTTTCATATTCAGCTTCAGGAATCTTGGGGCTGGCATCTCTCAAATAAGCATGCTGTGGGAATTGGGGAGTCAGGAAGATTGTGGATATGTGCTTCTACCTGGGCCTAGATGGAAAGGCGCTTCTTTCACCACAGCCTGTGGCCAGCAGCTTTTTGAAGGATTGGGAAGCAGAATGGGGAATTTTGGAGTCTTGCCAGATTGAGACAGGGATCAAGAACTGAGTGAGGGCATAGCATAAGAGAGTGGTCCCAGGCCTCCTGAAGCATTTGTCCTTTCAGCATACAGGCTCCGTGATAGCACTGGGATGCCCATGGAAACTGAAGGAGGAAATCACAGGCTGGCAGAAGGCCAAGTCTGGGCATCAGAGCAGGAAGCAATTCCATGAAACAGCAGCTCCATTCTAGCTGCCGTTTCTTCTGTTCCTGGAGAAGTGAGGGGTAGGGAGAGACTTTTCTAACAAGAGACTTTCCTTAATACCTGGGTTTCATATTAATTCATGCTTTCAGAATTTAGAGGAGCTCTTTCTGCACAGGAGTCCCCCATCAATCATGCAATGTTTACCAATTATAGTTTGGCCACATTCTCATAGAAAAAATACAGGACCTCCCCCTTCAGAGACATACACAACTCCAGGAAGCCACCTGAGAATCTTGTGTTGGCCCCTGTACCAACTCGACCCCCCTCCTCAGTCTCTATTAATCTGTTCCCAAAAAGAAATGTCACCAGATGGCCCTGCAAATGTCACCTGGCCATCAGCATGGCTTCACTCAAAACAGGGAGGCACTAGAGAATCTAATCCATCGTTCATTTCCATCATTTCAGATCAGTTTGCATCCTCTACTGGGCATGTAGTGCTTTCTTAACACTGGGTTGGACAGCAAGATCTGTAATCCTGCTGATATTAAAGAATATTGCTTTATATTTAATGGAGGAAGGTCCCAGTGACTCACAAATCCTGAACATTCTGTAAGAACTCCTCTCTTGTTAGCATTTAATAGCAGATTTTACTGCCCTCAGCTTCATGAACTGAGCACTCCCTCAGCATTCTCAATACCTTAGGCTATTTTTAGCATTTAATCCCTTCCAGGTATCAGAGCCATCAGACCTCCTTTTTTTCCCCCTTTTTTCTTTCTTTCTTTTTTTTTTAACAGAAGAGAATCCTTTTGTGTTTTCAAAGTGTGGATGGTGGATTTTAGGAATTGAGCTAATCCTTTTTTAAAATGGGTTTGTCTTTTACTGTCTGTTAGATTTCATATCCAGTCATGGGCATGAGACCCTTATCCTGGCTCTGCTCTGTGCATTTCTCTATTCTAGCAGTTATAGAAATGGCTGAGGGAGGTGTGACTGATCGTGGAGAGAGAAAAGAAAGCTGAACTCCCACGCTGAGGAGGTTGCAGGGCCACAGCTAGGGCGGGCTGGGGTGGGAGGACAGGTATACTGCTGGGCTCTCAGACAGAGGGGTTACACACCCAGGTGTGCTTTGGAGCTCCCCACAGCTTTTAGGGAGTGGCTTCCAAAGGAGTCATAAAACTCAGAAGTAGGTTTGGAACAGGAGATTTCAAGTGGCTCCTGCTCACTGTCAGAGCCACTTACCTTCTTTACTGGGGATTAAAGAACTCCAGGGCTGTTGGGGAAGGGAAATTGTTTAATGGATACAGAGTGTCTATTTGGGGTAATGCCAGCATTCTGGAGATAGACAGCAGAGATGGCTGCACAACACTGTGAATATACTTAATAGCCACTGAATTGTGTACTTACACATGGTTAAAATGATCAATTTTAAGATGTACATTTTACCACAATAAAAAATACACACACACACACACACACACACACACACACACACACCACACACCATGAAAACTCTCTACCAGAGGGCAAATAAGACTTGGAGACAACAGAGGAGGGCCCAGGCCCAAATACAGTTGCCCCTGCCTCCAATTAGGTGGGGTGGGGTGGGGATGGGGGTAATATTCCTGCAGGAAGCACCTGCTCATTTTAGAAGAGACTCCATGCAGCAAGGGCTGGGCTTCCCTCAGTGTCCCAGAGCTCAGGCATATCACTACCAACATCTGTCCTAACAAATTCACACATTTCATTTCCCTGTCTTCCCCTATTTCTCACTGCCTACAGGCAAAGTTCTCTCCTGGATACTGAATGCACCCCCGGGAAAAAAAC